ATTGTGCAACACACACACCACACATCATCAGTTGGCGCTGTCTGCGGGAGCGACTATTCCTGTAAAAAAAATTCTATTGATACCTTCAATAATTGATGGTTTCTGCGCACAACATAAACAGAAGTTAGATGAACCCTCTACGTTTGTAGAATCAACAAGAATTCACCACTGGACAGCAGGAGAACTCCCTGCCTAATCTTGATGTTAATCCTCCAATGACGAATCCTCCTCCACATGAAAAACTCGAGGCCCTTCGTCAAGCCAACCAACGCCTCCTCTAGCAAAATGAGGAGTTGCTAAACCTCATCCACTCTCAACATTCCCAAAGGGCATAACCAACCCAAAAGGATCTCCTTCGAGGGGAACGTCAACGTCCCAATTCCTTAAGGGATATCACGAAGGAGAATAAGCACAACCAGTTAGTTGACAATATCCATCACGAAGAAGACGAGGAAGTGCAAGGTCACAACATGGCGACTCATTGGAACAAGCCCCCCCCCCCCCCCCAAATTCCTACAGGAAAGAAAAGAGTGATTTTGGGAACAATATTTTAAGAAAATTCAATAGGAACTTAGCCACATGAAAGAGGCTATAAAAGGCAAAACCACATTGACTATAGACACCCTGACCTAGCAGACCGAGTCCCCATTCACTCCAGATGTGCTACACTTACCTCTTTCACCGAAATTCAGAATGCCATAGATGGAAACCTTTGACGAAATGAAGGATCCCATGGACCATCTCAATATCTACAAGAACCAAATGAAGCTACATGGTTAACAAGACCCAGTGAGAAGCCGAGCTTTTGCTATCAACCTGAAAGGCTCGGTCTTAGCCTAGTTCAACAGGCTGACCCCCATCATCCATTTCCTCGTTTAGGGAACTCTCTATTCATGAACAGAGTCACAAGCCTCAAAAACAACATTTCACGCTTGAAATAGGCCATTTATCTTGAGCTTGCTTTTGTCGGCCTTACTTTTAACCGTGGCCTCTAGGTCCCTATTCTCCAAACACAGGCCTTGGACATAAGCCTTCAAGTCCTACACTTGAGCCTGCAGATTGTCATTAGAGAAGGCTAGCTCAGAGACCTTAAGCTCAAAGGCCTTTGAAGACTTTTGAGCCACCTCAGCATCCATCTTCGAGGCTTGAACCCTTTCCACTAGAGCTCCCACATGGATTGCCATACGCAAGAATAAACGGGACCTAAAGTCAGAAATCTCAAAGTAGAGTTATACCTAGATTGAAATCATATCAACCAGAAACTAACTAAGGCTGCCCCAAAAAGAGCAGTGGCTGATGAAGTAGACAAGGGCATCGAGGAGGCCTCCTAGATGTCAAATTTTGGGATAACGGATAGAAGGGCACTGACAGCAAGGTTCACCTCTCTGATGAGTGAACCCTTGCCGAGCTCTCAGCTTTGCTAAACACCAATTGAGTAGACGTCTCAATAGCTGACTTCGAGGAAAAACGATCGCGAGAGATGGAGCCAATGGTTGCAGGGCTCCAACTACCTCTAGCAATAGGGGAGGAGTCTTGGCACCCTTCGTAGAAGGCTTCTTGGGCCTAAAAGGAACTGAAGAGGCCCCAGCCCCAATAGTGGACTGGAGTGTAGGTGGAGCCTTTAATGAAGGAAGGGACCCTTGAGGTGGGGGAATTCCTTGAGGAGGAGGAACCTCTAGGGGAAGGAGAAGCCCCTGAGTAGTTTCCTTCCTCAGAGCCTTAGAAGGGTGCTCCAAGTCGAGATCAGTTTCAACCTCCACCTTCCTTTTTCCGGCTGTCCTATTCTCCCATATTGTGGCCAGCCTGACCCTCATCTCTTTAGCAACTGGAACCATCGAGTTGGGACAAAAGAGAATGAAGGAAGCAGGTCAGAAAGTTGATAAGGAGAAAGAGTAAAACAAGGGATAAATTAACAGAGCCTTACCAGTAGAATCTTCCACACTTACTACAAATATCGGAATGACTCTCAACCCTTACCTCGGGATGACTAAGCCCGTATTGAGTGAGCACCGAAGGCTTGAGAAGTTCTGAATCGCCTGCACTACCAGAAGTCCCAGCTCCAGCTTTTTTTTATTTCTTTTTTTGAGACTTCTTAGATTTAGGAGCTCTAAGGCTTGGTTGAGGCAAGGGGACCGTGACCTCGGTGACCTGGGCATTAAGAGCTTCGACATTTGGAAAGTTGTCTATCTCATCGCCCATATCTCCCAAGTCATCCACTTCGAGCTCAGGAGATATGTAACACCCCCACTGCGGATCACGTAGGGTGGGCGGCGGACCGTCCACCTAGGCCTTAACCGACTAACACTTTGCATAATAAATGTAAAATATAGCGGAAGAAAATTAATAAAGTGATTCGTTCCATTGACCTAATGAATACTAGAAGAATAAACTAATCAACACTCAACATCATTACTAAACTAATTAAAATTGTAATCAAACCGTAAGGTTCACTACTCTAAATACAAGCAATATTATTCCCAAAATAATAAAATATTTGTCTCAAAATAATAAAAAACATTTATTCTTGAAGACTTACAATAAAATAAATCTTCAATTCCTCTAATCCCTTGTCTATCAAGGGATTTACTCTTCCCCCTGATCCTCACCTGAAAAATGTTAAATATTTGTATGAGCACAATGGACTCGTGAATAACAACCACCTCTAATGAGGTATGAAAATAAATCTCACAGTTTATATAAAAAAATAAACTTTGATACATACATAAGTACAACAAATTGTACACCAATCCCTCTCACATAATCATTTAAACAAAATGATCTCTCTCACAAATAAATTTACAAATGAAACGATATTTATAACCCAAAATACCACTTATTTTAACAAATAACTTTATCAATGAAAAGACACTTATAACCAAAACGCTCACACACACATAGTGACCCAAATACATTTCTCATATCAATTTGTTACCAGTAGTCTGGTAACTGGCATCGTCTCTTGTCACCATTAGTCTGGAAACTGTCCCTGTCTCTTGTCATCACCAGCCTGATGACTGACCCCTATATGCGCATCCCTATATCGATCACACCGGTACACTTTCATTCTCGTTATCATTTAGACCTAGTAATACATGCTCCATCTCATAAAACATGATTTTCACACCTCAATTTAAGGTTCTAGAGGGCCATTATTTTGTGAATACAACATCGATTTGATTTATTAGAGTAACCCTTGATTTTTTAAAACTTAATCAAAACTTTTAGGGGTCGTTTAAAAATTTCAAAAATTTTTCAAGACTCGGGAGCTGTTTTGAAATGACAATATTTGTTTCAAACATATTGGGTAAGTTCTGTAAATTACCAAGTTTCATTGTGCTCAAGATTGAATTTATAAAAATATTGGGGTCAAAATAAAACTATTTGAAACTAAAGGGGAAGTTTATATAATTTTTAGAAACCCATCTTCTCCACCCACCGAAAGTACTTTCTTCCTTCTTCAACTGTGCTTTCTTTTTGCTTCCTTTTTTTTAAGACATTAAACAAATTCTTTAAAAGCCTAAAAAATAATAAATCTAAATTAGGTCTAAAAAGCACCTAAATTAACAACTTACAATAAAACTTATTTACATATTTATCAATTTTCTTCACCATGAACACACACACACACATATTCATTATCACTATTTATAATAAACCTAATACCATGTAATTGAATGAATTACAAACCCACCAATTAATTAATTAATTCATACCTTCAATGGGTCCAATCTTTTCTTTTTCTTTTCGTTCTTCTTTTTCCTTCTCTCTCTCTCTCTCCCTCTCTCTCTTTGCCGCCGCCTATTCTATTCCTTCTAGCCCAAACAATATTAATAATATATGAGGTAACCTAGGACAGTCAATTGCTTATAAGACACAATAGTCATCTCCTCTTAATGTCACTTAAGTCCCTCTAATTTTCTAGAGTTACATTTTTAACTATAACATATTAGCGTACAACCAATTTTAAATTTCTAAATAACTTATTCTCTTTTTATTTATTTAGTTATTAAAAAAATGTCCAAACACATACCTGAATTGGGTATTAAAAATCTCCCCCCTTCAAGAAGTTTGGTCCTCCGAACTTGGTGCGTCCCGAGTTTGGAACACTTGTAGGTACCTTTCCTTCATCTCTTGTTCGCTTTGCCAGGTAGCTTCCATCTCCGAGTGATTCTTACACAAAAATTTAATGAATGGAAAGATCGTATTCCCTAATACCCATTCTTCTCAATCCAAGATCTCCATTGGTAGATCCTAAAAAGAGAAATCCATTCGCTATATAGTGGCTCAACCTTCATTACATGTGATGGATTTGGCATGTACTTCCTAAGCATCGATACATGAAACACATTGTGGATATCAGCCAACTTTGGTGGTAAAGCTAGCCTGTAAGCCACTGCACCAATTCTTCCTAGAATCTCAAAGGGTCCAATATACCTTGAACTCAACTTCCCCTTTTTACCAAATCTTATAATCTTCTTCCAAGGTGACACCTTTAGGAATACATGATCGCCCCCCTGAAACTCTAACTCTCTCCTCATGTTGTCTTCATAACTCTTCTGCCTATTCTGAGCAACCCAAAGTCCTTCCTGAATCAATTGTACTTTATCTGTAATCTTTTGTGCTATCTCAAGCCCATATATCTTTCTTTCCCCAACTTAAGCCCAACAAATTGGAGACCTACAATTTTGCCCATATAAACAAGTCCAGTAAAGTTCCACCACAAGCCAAATAGAAACAAGTCCAGTAAAGTTCTTGGGTAACCCACTCACGAAATCCATGGCAATGTGCTCCCATTGCCACTCAAGGATAGGAAGTGGTTGCAATAATACTCCTGGCCTTTGGTGTTCTGCTTTCACTTTTTGACATGTCAAACACCTAGACACATAGTCAGCCACTTCCCTCTCCATATTATTCCACCCAAATATCCCTTTTAGGTCCTGATACATCTTTGTACTTCTCGAATGAACTGTGAAACGAGAGTAATGAGCCTTCTCTATCACTTATTTCTTGATGTCTAGATCATTAGGTATGTATACTCGATCTTCGAATCTCAACACTCCATTTGACCCATGAAAATCAACCTTCTCTCCTCGCTTTGTTTCTTGTAGATTCTTCCCCAAATTCTGGTCATTCAGTTGTGCCTCCTTTATTCGATCTAACAAGGTAGGCCGAACTTTCAAGCTTCCTATAAAAGCATTAGTCCCTAGTATCCCCACCTCAACCTTTGCCTCCTCAAGGCCCTCACAAGTTGTTTTTGTTGAGTAAGTAAAGATGCCATGCTCTATGTAAATTTTCTACTTAGTGCATCTTCCACCACATTTGTTTTCCCTAGATGAATGTGCAAATTTACATCATAGCCTTTGATTAGCTCTTGCCATCTTCGCTGTCTCATGTTTAGCTTTTTGTGTGTAAATAAATACATAAGACTCTTATGATCTGTATATATCTCACATGTCTCCCCATACAAATAATGCCTCCAAATCTTCAATGCAAACACAACAACTGCCAATTTTAAATTATGTGTCGAGTAATTTTGCTCATAAGGCTTCAACTTCTTAGAAACATAAGCCACAACCATCCCATGTTGCATGAATACACAACCTAACCCTTTCCTCGAACATCACAATAGATATCATACACACCAGTATCTACAGGTATAGTAAGAATTGGAACAGACACTAACCTTTCCTTTAAGTCATTCAAACTTTTTTCATAGTCATCAGTCCACTGAAAAAATACCTTCTTCTAGGTCAACAGGGTCAATGGAACGACAATTTTGGACAAACCCTCGACCAATCTCTTGTAATACCCTGCCAAACTACGTACCTCAGTAGCATTCATAGGTCGAGGCCAATCTTTAACTGCTATCACATTCTGAGGATCCACTAACACCCCTTCATCAGAAATCACATGTCCCAAAAATGATACACTAGTCAACCAGAACTCACATTTCTTGAGCTTGTCATAAACCTTTCGATCCCAAAGACTCTATACAACAATTTTCAAATGTTGTTCATGTTCCTTTGGACTCTTCGAGTACACCAAGATATCATCAATAAATACCACCACAAATTGATCCAATTGCTACTTAAACACCCTATTCATGAGATTCATAAAGGCAGCTGGTGCAGTGGTTAGCCCAAATGGCATCACAAGAAACTCATAGTTTCCATAACGAGTACGAAAAAGTAGTCTTAGGCACATTCTCCACATTTATCTTCAACTGGTGGTAACTCGTTCAAAGGTCAATCTTTGAGAATACTTTAGCACCTCGTAGTTGGTCAAACAAATCATCAATGAGGGGAAAAGGATAATTATTCTTGATGGTTACTTTGTTCAACTCCCTGTAGTCAATACAAGGTCTCATGCTTCCATCTTTCTTTTTCACGAATAGTACTGGTGCACCCCAAGGTGACACACTAGGTCGAATAAACCCCAAACGATAAGGAGCCTTAGAGGTAGGACCTATACCAGGTACCAAGTCAATAAAAAACTCAATCTCTCTATCAGGTGGTAATCCAGGTAGTACATCCGGGAATACTTCTGAAAATTCTCTTCCTATTGGTATCTCCTCAAGAGACAACCCTTCATTCCTCGTATCTATAATGTTAGTAATGTATTCATGACAATCTTTCCTCAAATATCTTTGAGCTTGTACTACAAAGACAAGGTTGGGGAAAGAAATAATCCCTATCCCCTCGAAACTAATTTTTATGTGATTAGGAGGATGAAATACAATCAACTGTCACATGGTGTGCAACTAACCAATCCATACCCAATATCAAGTCAAAACCCTTAAGGTCAAAGAGTATTAAATCAACTAGTAATTAATTCTCCTCAATGTGGACCCTACACCTTGGGTACATGACATCTCCTAACTCAGAACCGCCCGTATAAGTCGTCACAATCAAATCAAACTCAAGTACTTTAGGTTCAACACCTAATCTCATTGCCACTCTAGGAGATACAAAAGAATGTGTAGGCCTTGGATCAATAAGTACTTTAAATTCATGCTCACAAATAAGTAAAGTACGTGAGACCATGCAATTAGAAGATTGTGGGTTCTTCGCTGTCATTGCATAGACCTTCCCAAACTTTTGTTCCTTCTGCTGCCCTTGTTTCTGTTGACCCTATTTTGATGCACCATCTATTTTAGCTGGAGGATTGCCTACTGATCCCTACACTAGCTGGAGGCAAAACTTTGCAATGTGTCCTCGTTGGTTGCACTTGAAACATGTCACCTCCGTCTGTCCACTAGCATGTTTGTTTCCTTGAGCACTTCGACAATTCTTTGCTGAGTGTCCTGACTTGCCACAATTGAAGCAAAGAAGTTATTCCTAATTGGTCCCATATCATGACTTGTCCCCATGGAATCTCCCACACTTTTGACACTTTTCTAGCTGTCTAGTGCCCTATTGCCTTGTAAACCTTGGAACAAAGGACCTATATGATAAAGTACCTTGTCTACTCTTCTTGAAATTGTGGGAACCACCCCTAAAGTCACCTACTGAGCTTGTTCTCTTCCTTTTTTTTCTTATCATTATCCCTTTCCTTTTCACTGCCCTCCAAAACTCGAGCCTTGCAAACTACCTCTTGAAATGTTGGTAGTTCCAAGGCACCCAGTTTCTCCTTAATGCTCCACTTCAGACCTCTTTCAAACTTCCTAGCTTTATGTCTCTCATATGCTACCATGGGCATGGCATGTCTTTCTAATTTTGTAAATTTCTCTTCGTACTCACCAACTGTCATGCCTTCCTGAGCCAAATTCATGAACTCTTGTGCCAATCAATCCTTCTTTACCTATGAAAAATATCTCTCCATGAATGCAATCTTGAACTGCTCCCAAGTCATAGGAGTAGTCGGGTATATCTTCACTTCCTTCTCCATCCTCCACCAATGTTCAGCCTCATCTTTAAACAGAAAAGCTGCATAAGCCACTTTCTTACCATCATCACACCTTGAGCCATCCAAAATTTCTCAATATCCATAATCCAACTCTTTGCATCCGTAGAGGTAGTACTCCCTGCAAAAGCAGACGTCATCCTCCTAAACTCCTTAATGCTAAGTTCCTTCTGATCGTTCGGCCCATCAAGGATCTTTGTGATTCCCTATAAGGCCTTCCCAATATCCCTATAGACATTTAGGGGTGGATCCTCATTTTCAAGCACTGAAACTTTGTTAGCATCAGCCCTATCCTTTGTAGCACCCTTACCTTTCTTTCTTGATGCCATTTATACTTTCCACAAAACACAAAGCAACCTAACTTATATTAGTGACCAAAACAATAATACTATTCAATAATATTATCATTCGACATCTCTCAAACCAAATCAATTAAAATCCTAAATAACCATTCAAATTCAGTCTAATTCTCTGGTAATTCATAAACATAGGCTCTGATACCAAACTTGTCATACCTCCACCCCAAATCACTTAGGGTGGGCAGCGGACCAGCCACCAAGTCCTTAACCAACCAACCTTGAGCATTATAAATGTAAAATATAGCGGAAGACAAATAATAAAGTAATCCATTCTACTGACCTAATGAATAGCAGAAGAATAAACTAATCGTCACTCAAAATTATTACTAAACTAAGTAAAATCGTAATCAAACCATAAGGTTCACTACTCTAAACACAAGTAACATTATTCTCAAAATAATTAAATATTTGTCTCAAACTACAAAAGACATTTATTCCTGAAGACCTACAATAAAATAAATCTTTAATTCCTCTAATATCTTGTCTATTTGGGGACTTACTTCTTCTCATGATCTTCACCTGAAAAATGTTAAATGTTTGTATGACACAATGGCCCGTGAATAGCAACCACCTCTAATAAGGTGTGAAAATAATCCTACAATTTATATACAAAAATAAAATTTGATACATACATAAGTACAACAAAATGTAGCCTAACCCCTCTCACATAATCATTTAAACAAAATGATCTCATGATCAAAAATAAATTTATAAATAAAAAGACATTTACAACCCAAAACATGCACACACACATACAGTCCCAAATACATTTGTCATATCCTGTTTGTTACTACTAGCTTGGTAACTGGCCCCATCTCTTGTCACCACTAGCCTGGTAATTGGCCCCGTGTCTTGTCACCTCTAGTCTGGTAGCTGGCTCCATCTCTTGTTATCACTAGCTTGATGATTGACCCCTATGTGTACATCCCTATACCGATCTTATCGGTATACTTTCAATCTTGTTACTATTTAGCCCTGATAATCCAATCCCCGTCTCATAAAAACATGATTTTCACGCACACCAAAACTATCGTTTTAGTCCCAACACACACAAAATTTCCCTTTCATCACCAAAGAACATTTAAGCAATGATATAAAATCATCCCACAAGTTTTAACATTTACATGTACCACAATTCACAATTGTAAAATATTTAATTGCAACCCCAATATGCAAAATATCTAGACGCACACACCCACAAGTTTAATATAGAAAATCCTACCAAAAAAAGTAGTAAACTACTCACATTGATTCCCAAAATTCAATTCAAAGCCTTCTTTCTCAACCTCAATGCAATCATCACTTAATTCAAAATAACTTATAAAGATCAATCCCTATTTTTAACTTCGTTATTTCATTATTTTGTATTTAATTTACAAATTTCCTACTCATTGATATATACCGAATATATTTTTTACATAGAAATAACATTATTAATGTGAGCTAATTGGGTATGGAAGTAACCTGGTTAGTTTATAAAAAGTTTCTAATAGGTATGGAAGTATCCTGGATAGTTTATAAAAAATTTTAGAGGCAAATCATAATTTTTGAAACTTTTAGGGTGAAAGTGTAATTTCCTAAAAATAAAATTTTCTATTTTCAAGCCTTCCATAAAATTTCTAGAATAGTGTTTAAGGTTCTAGGGACCCATTTTTTTTGTGAATACAACTTTGACTTGATTTATTAGAGTAACCCTTGATTTTTAAAAATTTAATCAAAACTTTTAGGTGTCCTTTCAAAATTTCAGAAATTTTTCAACACTCGGGGGCTGTTTTGAAATGAAAATATTTGTATCAAACATATTGGATCAGTTCTTTAAATTATCAAGTTCTGTGGTGGTCAAGATTGAGTTTATAAAAACATAGGGGTCAAAATAAAGCTATTTGAAACTAAAGGGGAAGTTTCTATAATTTTAAGAAACCCATCTTCTCTACCCACCGAAAGTTACAAGTTCTGTAACTTTCTTCCTTCTTCCCCTT